AAGTGAAGAAGAGTGCCTGGAAAGACAAAAGACACTTCTACGAAACACTGGCAAGTGAAGCACAACAGGCTGTAGGTAACAGAGATGTGACAACATTATATCAAATAACAAAATATCTGAGAGGGAAGAGACCAACACAGACGAAACCAATAAAAGATGATGACGGAAATTTCATTGCGAAAGAAGAGAAACAGAGGAAACAATGGGCCGACCACTTGAAGAAGCTCTTGAATCGACCACCACCACCACCACCTGCACTTCGTCCACAAATACCACCAGCAGCCACAGAACTACAAGTGAACATAAATCCTCCAACAAAAATGGAAGTCCTGAAGGCCATAAAGCTACTGAAATGTGGGAAAGCAGCAGGACCAGATGGGATGCCACCAGAAGCACTGAGAACAGACGCAGAGACAACAGCGGACATGCTTACACCACACCACTATTGCAGAAGGTGTGGGAGGAAGAGAAGGTACCTAGCGATTGGAAGAAGGGTTACCTTGTCAAACTGTCAAAGAAGGGAGACCTCAGTGTTTGCAAGAACTGTCGTGGAATCACTCTCCCGTTCACCCCAAGTAAAATATTAAGCCGCATCATCCTGGAGAGACTAAAGCATGCACTGGATTCAAAACTACGACCGGAACAGACTGGTTGGCTTCAGGAAGTACAAATCATGTGCAGACCAAATTGCAACGCCACACATCATCATAGAACAGAGCATAGAATGGCAATCAACTCTCTACCTCAACTTCATCGACTTTGAGAAGGCCTTTGACAACGTCGACCGAGAAGTAATTTGGAAACTGCTTCATTACTACGGAGTACCGCAAACCTTTATCAGCCTCGTTCAACAACTATGTGAAGATGCCACATGCCAAGTAATTCACAATGGGAAGCTCAGTGATGCCTTTGAAGTGAAGACAAAAAAAGGAGTGAAACAAGGTTGCCTACTATCCCCCATGATATTCTTGATTGTGGTGGACTGGATCATGCAGCAAACAGTGGGGAGCTGTGAGAAGAGGAGGATACAAAAGCTGGACTGTGGAAAAGAACCTAGAAGATCTGGATTTCGCCGATGACTTGTGTCTGATGTCACACAAACTTGAAGATGTACAGGCAAAAACTAACAAGTTGGCAGAAGAGGACAGGGAGGGAAGACGAGACTTCAAGTGAATATAGAGAAGACAGAGGTGATGAAGATACCCCAGCACCACTACCAACAACAAACTCCAATCACCATGAACGGGAGAAACTTAAAGGAAGTAACCTCCTTCACCTATCTAGGAAGCACTGTTTCAACTACAGGCGGGACAGACGAGGATGTCAAAGTCAGGATCGGAAAAGCAAGACAGGGGTTCATTAGCCTGAAACCAGTGTGGAGATCTACTCCACTCAGCATGTGGAACAAGATGTGGATTTTGAACACCAACGTCAAGTCAGTGCTTCTGTATGGTTCAGAGACTTGGCGCGTCACGAAAGGGATTTCCAGTAAACTACAGACATTCATCAACAACTGCTTACAAAAGCTCGCTACTGAAGCTCAGATGGCCAGAAAGAATAAGCAACCAGGAGCTCTGGGAACGAACCCACCAAGAACCTATCACCCAACATATATGCAGAAGGAAGTGGAGATGGATTGGCCATGCACTGAGAAGGCCGACTGAGGACATCACGCGTCAGGCCCTCGAGTGGAACCCCGATGGGAAGCGACGAGTTGGACGTCCCGAGGGTGACATGGAGGAGATGGTGCGAGGAGGAAATGAGAGCTTGTGGTCTGTCGTGGAGCCAGATTCAAAAGATCTCAGAGAACAGAGGTCACTGGAGACGTGCTACTGAAGCCCTATGTTCCATTAGGAATCCAAGGGTCTAATAATAATAATAATAATAATAATAATAATAATAATAATTAATAATAATAATAATGAAGTTAATTTTATTTTGGTCTTGGCACTGGCATTCGTTTAACTGTGATGTGTAAAAACTTCACAAATTAAGTTCCCTTGATCAATGTGAAGAAAGAAAAAGTAAAGAAACTTGTTGAATAAAATGAGCTTATTCATGATGGATAGTGGCTAGCAATAGAATCTAGGACACACTTTCAGTCTTATTCAGGACTCGTCAGACAGGTGTACACGTCTTCCATTGAGTGGTGTTGTCCCCACCGAGACTCGAACGCAGTACCCATTATGTTGTCCACTAGGGCGCTCACTCATCCACATGTGACAATAGTGACTGATCAATTCGGCTTAGTCAGAGACGGATCTGTAGCATGGAAACTTTTGTATTCTATTTCACAGCTTTTGGTCATTCTCAGACAGCCTAAAATGATGAAGGTTTTCGTAAACAAAAACTAGACAAGTAACACACCTTGACTGTTTCTGGCAAAGGTTAGATTCCAAATTCACAGTATAATAACAAATCAAAGAAATAACGGCAGAGGATCATGAAAAGAATAGTCGAAGTCAGCTTATCATGTCACATAAGAGAATGTTCTAGAGTCATGAGGAAAGGAAAGAATTATGAGACAAAAAGAGTGAGTAGTTGTGTTACTTATAAGTGAGCCATCACTTAAAATCTATCAATGAATTTGAAATCAGTGCATGAAAGTTATTGCAGAAAGACAACTTTTAAATAAGTGGAGAGATTAGGCAATAAACGATGGTGGTTCGGTTTTCTGTGAACTTTAATATTTATTCCGTGATATTTAATCACTAGGCTTGCTTAAGTTAGCCCAGATGGTGTTACCAAGCCCGGTGATAAAGCAACCGTGACAATATATATAACCTCAGCGAATACCTAACGTCTACATCAGCCTGAGCTATAGATATCTCTCATAATTTAGTTCCGCAACAAAGTCAAAGTACAATTACCGTAGTAACACAAGTTTAACCGGTCTACCTTTTAGCACACAAAAGTCAAATAGAAAATGAAATAAGGTATTTTATTCTTAATGATTTTGAAAGCCTAAGTGACTGAAACTGTCAGTTCTGTATCGCTTTAGGTGTCTGGTTACCTTCCTCTGAACATATTTTCGTTGTCGTATGTGTATGTAAATTTGTAACTGCAGTTGGAAATGACATTAGCAGGAAATCTATTTACTTAGAATTGACTGAATGAATAGTTTGTGCCATAGAATGAGAACAAGTTAGCTTCAGTAAGGAGAGAATTAAATAATTTTCTACTTCTTTCTTCGACTTCTACTGATACCTTATCCCTTTCAGTTGCTTGGTACATGGAAAAGTGCTTCTTTTCAGCAGTTTCAAGCGTAGATTTATTTGGTTTCCCCTTTCTACGATACATGAAACATTGAAATTCCACACTGACAGATCTGAAAACTCAACTTCAGCCAACCAACTTTAATTTATATCATAATACTACAGAAGAACGTAAAACACGTGAATTTTGCGTAAAACGTCACACAAAAGTGCACTAATTTCAGTTAACGAGTACCTTAGTGACACAGAAATAGTGGACCAAATAGAATGATATTTAGTTTGACGGAAGTGTATGAGAAGAGAGGATAAATTGATGGAGGTCAAAGATAATATTCAAAACTTTGAAGATGACAAATGGTGCATAGATAGGCATCAGTGTGATCACTTTTAGACCACTTCACTACTGGCCTCCAACTATTGATTTATGTCGCCTCTAAAACCCCCACCAAACAGCCTGCATCGCCCTTCATGGCTCATACTGACATTCAGTTACTTTATAGAATTGTATCACTTCCTGATTTAACTACTATTAGCTTTCTTCAAACCTAATTCCACTTTAGCTAACACTGTGTATCGACGCAGAAAGTGGTTCAACATGCGCTATACATATCCAGGTCACCTCAGTCGATGGAAATTCACAGTCTCGTCGACTTAACTTCTTTCCTTGCCTAGTACTCTAGAACGAAGTCAGGAGTCCTCATAAGGTAATTCCACAGTATGTTTGTGACTATCATAAGAAAACGTACACATAAGAAGAAATGCAGAAACCATACCCATGGAAATGTCATAGTGCATATTCTGTTAATTTATTTATTAAAGTATACCGTAATTTCTTAAGCTAACAAACGAATGTATGCGTCATCATACATACATATAAGTTGAAATACTCTACATTAAATGTCCTTTCACTGGAAGTAAATATTTGTCTGTGAATATTTCTTCACAACGTATTTTTTTCTAAAGTTTTCGTTTATAAATGTATTCACCATCCCTGTTGTTCATTGTAAATTGATAGCTTGGCTCAACTTTATTATCTACCACTGATGATGCACTTGTTTGACTCAACATTTTATCTCAATACTGAAATCTCTAGGAAGTATGAATGAAACTTTAACAGCTGGATCATATGCTAATGGGTCTAAACTTAGTCTGATCAGCACATCATAACTAATGAATACTGATCGTCACGTTCGTTGATTAGTCAGACTTGTATGTTTGATGGACCATTGTGGTCTGGTTTCGTTATCATGATGCTTTTGTCGTTGATCGCCTTTTACGTCTTCATTGCTTCTTTTTAGAGGATTTTTATTTGAAGTTTTTGAAGGACTCTTACGACCTGGTGAATTTATCTTCTTCTCTTGTGAACCAGAATATTTTTGGGTGAGGGTGTACGGCTTTGGCTTCAGCTTTTTTTAATAATACCATCGTGGCTGACTGTAATGTCCCTATTATGAGTGTCTTTTCCTTCTGCTAACACTGTAATCCATTTATTGAATGTAATAATCGTAGTGTTAGGTAAAAATACTTTAGAATCTGTAGGCAACTTTTCACCGATAGCTAGATAGTTTTTTTGTGTGATCGAATTGTGAACAGGTTTTCAATTCATGCGTCCACAATTTTGTTTTAGGACGAATTGATAATTTTGAATCTGTCGAGTTTAGGATTAATTCATCGAGATGGATGACGAAATTTTATGGGAATTGATAGTAAATTCGACAAGTTTGTTCAATAAAAGCAGTAATCGTATTAACTGTATATTTTGCTGGATTATTTTCGACTTCAATTCTAACGTTTTGTACACTGTCCATGATAGTAAATATCACGTTCTAATTTCGCACGTAAAATTAAATTACCAAAATCTTTGGGTGTAGCATGACGTGTAAATTCAACAGTTATTGAGTTATGCAATGACTGTTCAGCCAATGAAGGCGTTACAGTATACTTATAGAAATTCATAGCAACTTAAGTTTTTAGACAGTGGTAAACAGTCATACTCTGGTGTTATAAGTGCTCGAATTTTCAAATATAACCCATTTTCAAACTGATACAGATTTGAATTGTTGTATAAAATTGAATCTGGATAGTATGCCAGTTCAAATAGGAATGGTAGAATTCGATAAACCTTACCAAGTGTACGTCGTAATTTAAGGGCTAGTTCTTGTGCACACTCACTGATTTCTTTGTCAGATTCAAATAAAAGTGGGTGGATAGTTTGGAAATCTTGATGACATATACATTTTTTTACAGCTGATTTCTTGAAATGCAGGGGATCTACTACCTGTCATTTAGCTAAAGCTGACTGTAGTTTCAAGAATTAATTTAAAATCATCAGGGAACTTATTAACATTATAGGTTATTATATCCTCTAAAACAGGCGGTGAAAATTCTGGGAGAAGTGTGAGTTCATCTATTGATTTCGCTGATGATTTAGTGCTTGATTTTGATGAGAGTTTCTTGAATGATTTTGATGTTGGAGACTTACGACCTTTACGATAGCCAGGACTTATATTTCAGTTACAATATTAAGTTGGTATTTATCATGGACTGACGTCAGTTGGAGGAACATTTGAGACCTGGGAGCACTGAACAGCTGTTTCGTCTTAGTATGGGACTTCTCAGCAGTGCGCATCCATGATCAGGGTTCCCAATGTTCCTCCAACTGGGATCGGTCGATGATGAATACCAATTTAAAATCAATAAATTTCCCATAAACCTCCAAATTAAATTACAGTATTGTTCATAGATTAGTAATTTATTCCATGTTTTTTAGATATGTATGAGATTTAGGCAGAAAGTCAGTGTTGCAGGTTTCGTCTTATATACTGGGCGTATTGTACCATATTGGTGACGTGTAAACAGTTTTATTTCATCCTCTTGTTTACTTCTTTCTAAACTTGACCTGCCTGATTTTCTGGATTTTGGCGGACTTCTTGATTTACGTGGACTTACCATTTAGTAATTATTTTCCTTAGTTAACTTTCTGTCCAAATTTCATTTAGTCCATTTTATAGTCATACATACTAATCACATAAATAAGTCATCATGTGAATCAGGTGATTTGATGAATCTACTGGGATATTTGGTCATTTATATTTTTTAATAATTGATTCCTGCTGCTGTTGATACAGTAAGTACCAGTTACGACTATAATCCAAAATCGTTGAGCAAGACGACGTTCACCTCGGTTCTCTTCATCTGTAAAACTGTTTTCATCCATCATATTAATTAAATACCCTCCTATTGTAGTTGTATTTATTGAATGAAAAGTGCACTGAACGATATTTACAGGATTAAGAAAAACTGTTGTCTTTTACATACAGCTTAAGCTGTTGACTCGAAAACTCAATTGCATTTTACTGCGAATTGATTTGTAAAGAAATCCCCTGAAAGTGACCTCTTCAGAAGAAGTGTCTTGGGAAAACCTTTGTGTATAGTCATCCATGTGAACTAATGTCACCAGAGAGGTTCAAACCCTCATTCCCCTCAAGTTTACGGACACACCTTATTGACGCCTACCAACAGGAACCTTATCTATGTTGAGGGCTTTTCATCGATCTCCTCTAACCATCTAACATCAAAATAATAATTATAGGACAACATGGCATATTTAGAGATATTTTTTCCTTCGAAATGAAATCGAGATAAGATGACTTTAGTTTTTTCAAATCAGAGGGATGAAACAAATCATACTGTAACCTTGACCCATTTTTTAAAGATGGAAAAAAGACGATATATTGGAGTAAGGCTGTATAATCATTGATCACTTATACTGTAAATATGTTGTATGATAACCATTCTCCCTCTCACATATTCTCCATCTACAATACAACCTAATTTATTGTTTATTAAACCTCTCACAGCAGGTGGTTTCATATGATGAATTAGGTTGCCACGGTCACATTCATTTATCCATGTCTAAAAGGTAGACAGCAAAAAAAAGAATTATCCACTTGAATGCATTAAATAAGACCCTAGAGACCTCACAGCCTCTTTCTCTTTCTTATTCTTCATTCTTCATTTCAGTATTGCCCAAAAAAATTAAAATTAAAGAAGCAATCAAGAACAACAATCGAGACTGATGACAAATACAAGCAACCGTTACCCTTATTTTTCCTGATTCTTTCTATTTATCTGTTTCTATGTTTATGTGTTTATCGATGCACGCATACACACAAATGTCTGTGTGTATATTTGCATGTGGAAATCTGAACAGGTCATTGGGGTGGGATCAAAATTTACGTACATGACTCTACATAGACACTAGCGTTTTCATTATCTCAAGTCAAGTGTAAATACGTCAAGCCGACTTAAGATAACAGGTTATGTTTCCCTATGTGACATCAGTGGCGAAAATAAACTGACCATGATACTCATAATTCACAGAATTAGTTGTTTGGACAGTAAGACGTATGCAAATTAATGAACCATAGATTTCAGGTTCATCGGATCTGATTCCCCAATAAACTTCAGGATAGTATGTATAAGATGTAGATATCACTCACATATTCGATAAACATGTAGTACTGGGAAGGTTCTTTGGGTAAATTGATATTGAACATTTCACTTTCAAAAGTATGCTAGTGATCATAACATGCTTTAAATCACCTGGAACAGTTTAAACAGTTGAAATGTTTAATCCTTTAGTCTGCTGTCCAAAGTTTTCTCAGCTGTCGGTTAACCTTAAAAGTGTTCAACTCAGCAGCACAGAAGTGGTGAAAACCACCAATAGGTTACTTTCATATTTTTAACTATTTTTCAACAATAACACTTTTCAATTTAAAATGTACTTATATGCTTTATAAGATTGTCTAGTTACCTAAGCGACAGATTATTCTTTATACTTTTAACGAAAAATACCTAATGACATCAAAATTTATCACTGAAGCTGAAAACCTTCTACATTATCTTGCTGGTTATAATATATCAACGGTGGATGATTAGTTTTCGTCTGACTCTATTTATATACAAACTAAATAAGGCACTTAGTGAGACAGTGAGATTTTTAGTTGTTGATGAGCTTAGCAAAGAATCTTAATGTATATTCTTCATTTACATTATCGTAAGTAACTGTGGTGGAAAGTCATCCTCCCATAAAAATATTAGAATAATAGATAACATAATTCAGTGCAGAACAACTGAAGACCATCAGCTGAGAATCCTGCTCCTCAGCATGAAGTGCATGTTACTTCACAGAAACTCTTATTCACTCATATATTCTAACTTGGTTTGATCAATGACACAACCAGGTTTGTAACAAATGAGCCACTTGGAAAACAAATAACCCGCATGTTTTTACCGCCCATTTTCAACATTGTACTGAGTTTTCTATTTCCTAGTCAGTAAAGTGGGAAGTTAGTCAAGATAATTTGATCCGTACTGCAAAATAACTATCAATTTCGTTACCATGCGACAACCCACTAGCGTATGGTGTCATTTTGGTAAAAATTATTTTTATGCGTGTAATTAATTAAAATAAGATGTTGTTTATTGATATAATGTACCGGATTATATACCTATCCATTTGCACATGATTAACCAGATATGTTAGTTAAGAAAGGGACAAAGCGTGCAGCAGTGTTGAGACTGTGGCTTACAAAATGACTGATTCCAAGGAAATTAATCTTAGCTATACTGTTTACAGAAAGCTTCATTCACAAATTGATCTTTATTTCTAGTAATCTTGGTGGGACTTATCAGAAAACCTGGGTTGGGATCGGACTTGAACCTGTGACATTCACATTAATGGCTAGGTAGTCTATTTGGTAAAGCTTCTGGGCAGTCGTGGAGTCAGGTTCAAAAGACTGCGAGAACAGAGTGAAATGGAGACGTGCTACTAAAGTCCTGTGTTCCACTAGGGACCCAAAGGATAAATAATAATAGTCTGTTTAGTGACTTACAAGCATTGACTACACATCATTTTAAGTTAAAATTCACATTAACAATGAAATATTTTCAACAGTTATTCTCATAGCTCCGTTGATAAAGTATCAAGTGGATAACTTGAGTGCTACTGGTTCTAGCCCTACTAAAGCCCAGATTTTCCGTCAACATCAGTCCTTCTGATGAAGATCATTTCATTGAACAAGGCCACATCAAGGGGTTGGTCAGCATGACAACTAGAACTTCCAAGTTCATCGGATAATGATGTGATTCATTGAAATAAGTATGTCAAGCAAAAGCAAGTAGATGATAATGGGATGAATGATTCAGTGAAATTAATTGAACTCAGTTTTATTCAAAATGAAAGGTTGCAAAGCCAATTTCAGACTCACTGATTGGTCACTGGAAGGTAACTAACTTTATGTTGCCTAGTTATGAGTGCTGATCGAACTCTGTCTATCATTTTGCAATATGGTCACCAGGCTAGTTGACTCAGCATCGCGATGCACTTTGACAGATGTTAGCTGGATGTAGGCGTTCTGTAGGTAACCCTGGACTTAGGTTTCTCTCCTTTTGGCAGTCTTCAGCAAGTTCTATAATGTATCATTTGTGGAACTGATGTACGGCTTGAGATTCAAAGCCGCACGACTCAGAGCTGCAGTCAGAGACGTTGTCACTGAGCCATTCGGACCATGACTGACCTCCTATAGGACTGAATTGGGTGACTAAGTACCTAATCCAGTCCTACAGGAGGTCAGTCGCGGACCGAATAGCTCATTGGTCACTTCTTTGATCGGTGCGCTGAGTGACGCTGGTTTTGAATTTCAGGTGAGACATGAGTTCCACAGTGGTTGGAGATACAACTTGCAGATGAGTGGCAAAAAGCTCAGAATCTAAATTCAAGGATTCCTGCTGATTGCTTCTATCCAACTGACATCTAATTTCAGACTGATATGATACGTAACAAAGAGGTTAGTCGAGTAATTACAGGATGGAGAAACAAAATGAACGAGGAACTAGGTGTACATAAAACATTTATTGTACAAACAGATTTCACTTGGAACTGCAGTGAATACTACTATGTAACTACACGAAGAACCACAGCTACAATAAGGATATATCACAGACCCATTTGGTCACAGAAAAAGACACGACTGTAATGAAGAAATTTTATCTTTTCGATGAAATCATTCTCTTAACTGTATATTACTATTAATTTTCTCTTGGTTTCCTAGTCGAACATGAGACTTCAGTAGCACGCCTCCATTGAACTCTCTTCTCTGCAGTCTTTTCAACCTGACTCCACGACTACCCACAAGCTCTCAGTTCTTCCTCACATGATCTCCTCCATGTCATCCTCAGCTGGGATGTTAAACTCGTCATTCCCCCCTTGGATTCCATTCGAGAATCTGGCCTGTAGCGTGATGCTCCCAATCGGCCTTCTCAGTGTATGCCCAATCCAATACATCTCCACTTCCTTCTTCTGCATATTTGTTGGGTGATAGGTTCTTGGTTGGTTGGTTCGTTGCCAGCCAGCCGGCCAGCCAGCCAGCCAGCCAGCCAGCCAGCCAGCCAGCCAGCCAGCCAGCCAGCCAGCCAGCCAGTTCCTCCTTGCTTATTATTATTATTCTGGCCATCTGATCTTCAGTGTCAGTATCGAGTGAGGGAGCGTAGGCGGCATCTGTTGATGAATGTCTGTAGTTTGTTGGAAGTGCTTTTCGTGACACGCCAAGTTTCTCAACCATGTGGCAGAACTGACTTGACTGACGTTGGTGATGAAAATCCGAATGTTGTTCACGCTTTATGCTGAGTCGAGTGGAGTGGAGTGCAGTGCAGTGCAGTAGATGTCCACACTGATTTCGGATTAGTGAAAGCCTGTCTTGCTGTCTCTCCGATCCTGGTTTTGACATCCCCGTCTGTGCCTGTACCTGTGTCACCACCTGTAGTTGAAACGGTGCTGCACTCCCTAGGTAGGTGTAGGTGAAAGAGACTAATTCATTTAGGTCTATCCTATTAATGCTCATTGGTGTTTGTTGTTTTTGCTGGTGGTGTTGGTTGGGTATCTTCATCACCTCTACCCCTGTCTTCTCTACACTCACTTGAAGTGCCGTCTTCGCTGCACTGCCTCTTCTGTCAACTTGTTAGTTGTCACCTGTGGATCTCCGAGTTTGTACCACAAGACATTAGACATAAATCATCATCATCATCATCATTGGCGGCGAAATCCAAATCTTCTTCTGGGGTCTTTTCATCGGCCCAGCCAGCGTATGCCCATCTTCTCGCTCCTCACGGTTTGCTGCATGATCCAGTCCAGTCTAGTCGACCACAATCATGGAGATC